GGGTGACCCGAGGGCAGCCCCAGTGCAGGCTGGTGGTTCTGGCGGAGAGAGGTGGCCGCGGAAGGAGCAGAGCTGAGCAAGTGCCAGGCTTCGATCCGGGCACTGAGCCGCCTCCCCCCTCCCCAGGGATCACTCAACATGAATCGGCCTTTTAATTTGCTGCGGCGGTTGGAAGGGCTCGCGGCTGGATTGTTGGCAGGGAAACAACGGCCCCGGTGCGGGTATCGCGTAATCCCGCTCGCAGTGGGGTTACCTTCCCACCCTGCATGCCTGGGGCATCCCCAAGCCGACCCCACGGCCTGCCCCGGCTGCGGTGCCTGGACAGCCCAGGGCCCCAGCGATGCTGGGAATTGTCCCCACGCTGGGAGCACAGCACAGGCCTTTGCCTGTGCCCACCCCGCAGGGCAGCACCAAGGCAGGGCTGTAGCACCTCCACAGTTCGAACTCCTAATGGCTTTTCACTGAACCCTAAATTGGGCTGGGAAACATCATGTCCCTTATCCCAAATCCTGCCTAATCGCTTTACATGGTGCAGGGCACTGAGCACCAACAGGAGGAGGGAAGGGGGGGTCGGCAGCCAAACCCTAAGGGCTAATTAACCAGAGCTGCTGCCCGAGAGCTGCTGCCCGGGGCTGCCCGGGTGGTCCTGGCCCACCGGAGCCCCAACCTGTCCCTCCGTGAGCGCAGGCTTCCTCATGACCACCGAGCACAGCAAGACCCTGGCCAGGGGTCGCTTCAGTGAGCCTGTGCCAGCTGCCCACTCAGCCAGACACCTTCCTCCCTCCCCAGGAGCTGCTCTGCCAGACCAGTGTCCCCCTGCCCTGCTGCGGTGCTGCACCACTCAAGCGCTCCCGAGCCCTCTGCTCTGAGCTCAGCACCCGCAGCTCCACAGGAGGCACCTCCGGGCGCGGGATGGGCACCCAGTGCCCAGCACCGGTCCCAGTAAGCCCTGCCTCAACCCCAGCTGCCAGCCCCCAGGGTGAAAAGCAGTGCAATCATTGCCAGGCACGTTCAAGGTGCCCGGGCCACGGGGATGCATCAAAGCTCATCTCGAGGAGCCCAGGGCACCTTGACTTTTGCCAGAGCATTCGATGGCATTGGCTGGCAAGCAGCCTTCTCCAGCTCCCCGGGTCTCTGCCCATCGCTGTCTACAAGGAGCAGCCCCAGGGTCACTCCACAGCTCCAGCAGCTCTGTGCAACCCCGCAGGGTCCAGTGAGCACAACTCCCAGAGCTGATGCTCCCAGCTGCTGCCATTTCGCGGGAGCACCTGGCAGAAGGGGAGCCCACAGTGCCCTTCTGTCACCCTCTGGCCATCACGGGGACTAGCCTGCATGCTCACTGGTCCTGGCACTGTGGACCTGGAGGTGTCTGAGGCAGGTGGAAATGGTCAAGGGGCCATTACGAAGTGCCTGGTACCTCTGCACAGGACTGCACCCTGTTTACTCAGATCCAGGCTTTCCTCTTCCCTGGGTGAGGTATCTACCAGCTGCCCCTGGTAGGACAGCCCCATGAGAGGCCAGGGGGCCCTCAGAGGCCTCCAGACAAGGCAGAGACCACCCTGCCCAGAGGCAGCTCAGGTGGCTGGTGTGACACTGACTTGCACTGGCAGGCACGCACAGCAGTGCCAGGTCCTGGGGTGCAGCACAGCAGTGGGGTGGGATGCTGCCCTTCCCCAGGGCTGTGCTTCACCCTTCCAGCCAGCAGGCACACTGAGTGGCCTTTTGGGTTGCATTCTTTTACTGCCTGACCCAAATTGGACCAACTGCTACTTCAGACCTATCCTCCTCCTTCCTAAACCCAGGATTATCCTCTCTTTGATCAGCTGGTCCTACAGGCTCAGGATTTCTAGCACAGGCGCTTTGGCTGGCTGCATTTAAATAGCTTCTCAGCTTCTCTGACAGCCTGAGCTTTGCTGCGGAAGTGGTCGCGGACTCAAGCTGCAGCAAAGCTCCCCTCGTCCCTGGGTCTCCTTTTCTTGGACACCCAGGTGCCTGCATCCTGGGGCACAGGCACAGGAGCCTGCAGTAGAGCTGAGTCTGACATTCCCACACCCCAAGCAGGGTGGTGCAAACGGACGGCCTGGACATTGCAGGCAGCAGCCTTGCTTGCTCCCGACCACTCCCCTAGAGGGTCTGTTACTGCCCCAGCTCTTGCAGGACTGACAGAGTTGGAGCCTTTGGAGCCCTGGTGAAGAGCTCTGCCAGGCTGTCCAGAGCAGAGACCGGCAGAAGGTCTGCTGCTGCTTGGCGTTTTGGTTAGAAATGGCATAAGTAGCACCAAGGGCTTCTTCAGCAGCTCCTCTGCGGGTCTCAGCAAATCTCTGGGAGGCCAGCAGCTGGTGCAGGACTTGAAAGAGTGGGGGGCATCTCTGCTGGCAGGGACAGGATGCTTCAGTTCACCCACCACCCCCTGCCCAGGGTGTCCACGGTTCCTGCCAGACACACCCTGTGCAGGGAGCTCTGTGCAACCCTTGGCAGGGTGGGGGGACTCACAAGCCTTCCTGGCAGCAGCCACTAGAAGCATTCTCCAGCCCCCTCACCCTGCCACAGTGCAGAATGGGGGGGGGGCCCTGCAATGCATCTCTCCTGCACACATTCCACTGCTCTCCCCAGCCCCACAGCAGCACCCATCTCCTCCATCCCTGCCTCCTCAGGCCCACAAGGGACCATCTAGCCAGGCCCAGCTCCAGAGAAGATTTGTGTGGTCCATCTATAATGGCACCATGTCCAACCTCCCAGCCAGACCCCAGCAATGCAGCCTGTAAGCAGCAGGGCAGAAATTCCTGCCTCCATGCAGCCCAGCATTGCTGGGATGGACATGTAACAAGCAGAATGGATCCTAATGCTGGATGGGACCAAGAGAGAGTCAGACCCCGGGGAAGGGTATTGCCAGTGGGTCAGTGCGACTGCCCGCACTCAGGCAAGGTGCCCCCAGAAGACTCCTGCCAGCCCTGACCTTGAATGGAACCATGAATAAACAAGCAAATAAACAGAGGAAAATCGGTGGAGCAGAGGGAACAGCAAAAGCATGGCGAGCGGCTGTGCCCAGAACCTCACTGCAGGCAGCCAGAGAGTTCTACTGCAAGCACCAGTCAGATCTGGCTGCCCCCTCCAGCAGCCCTCTTGGCTGGGGCTTTCAACAGACCCCTTGGGGGGCTATGACAAGGGGACCTGGCAGGGGATTGAGGGGGAGTCAGAGAGAGACTGATGGCCTCCCCGAGCACCTCACAGCATTTGCCTGGCTCCATCCCACTCCTGCGCCTGACTGAAACACCTGCAAAAGAGGATGCTGCACTTGTCCAGCTTGCTGGGTGCCTGGGGCTGGGCATGTCCCCTCAGGGGCCCGAGGAGCCTCAGCAGCAGCTCGGCTGTCAGGGGAT